ATTATACTTATGTTACACCAAAATCTCCTCATAATTCTGTTATCTACAAACCCTAACCTCACTGGATTAATACCTCAACCTAAATAAGTCTATCTTGAGATACACGTAGCACCTGCTTGGGTCACAGTGTCTGACAAGTCACTGATTTTTTTGCTACACTTGAACAACTGAGGTCCGGTTAATGAAGCGGGTTTACCGAAAATCTTAAAACAGGGAAACTCTGATTTTTCCGTTTCACAAAGAGAGTTTCCTCATCCTCTGTTTCTGTCACTGTTGTAACATTCTCCCCGGAGCTAACCTGGTTGGTAGCAGATTTTCTTCAATAAAATCAGAGTGTCATGGTCTTGGCACTGGTGGCTTGATTGCTTATTCCACCCACCTGTTTAGCTCTGCCTGTTCTCATCATTTCTTATCCCTTCCACCTGGTTCCAGCTCCTATATATACTGTTTGGTTTCAAGCTTCCAGTGCCAGATTATTCTAGCTGTTCTAGTGAGAGTTACTCTCACTAGAACTAGAACTAAACTACTTTTCTGATTATTCTGATGGTGACCTGTTTCTGTCTTGTGGATCCCGAGTTTTGCTACGCCCCTGTCTGCTCATTTAGTCTGATCGGCTCTGGACTGTGTATTAGATGCAACTGGCTTACCGAACCTGGACTGTTTTCCTGACCACGGCTTGGACTCCCTCATCGGTACCTCATCGGCTCTCAGATCTCCTGGTAAACGAACTTGGTTCTGTTTCGACTTCGGCTTGGATCTCCCTTTCTGGCAACACCTGCTCCTCGGCGCCGTTTGGCTTCAGCGCCGCTCACCTCACTGCGCTTCGGGGGCCGCTCCCATCTGCGGCGGAGGACCGTCTCCTTCGTGGATTCCTCCCCTCCTTCTGGGATCGGACTGAACTTTGAACCAGGTCAGTGACTTTAGCGCTTAACTGCCACCAGCCATCCATTCTTAGTCACTGACCTGAGTTTCTGTTTCCACAGAGGATCCGTGAAGTCCGCCCCTGCTGACGCGCCGTTTTCACGCTGCTTACTAAATAAAGTCTGTTAAACTCTTCCAGCTCTGTCTGTCTGAATATTGGATCCAAGGTTTAGAGCCTCCTGACACAGAGTGTCCTCTGTCTCTGTTTGCCTTACCGCCAATCATGTTGTTTTATTTCCTGATTTAGTCCAATCTTTGGTCGTAGTTTTGTGAATAGAAAAAAAAATATCCTTCAATAAGTAGGTTAGACACATTAGGTTTAAAAACAAACATTGCATGTGCATGTTTAGGAGGATCTTATTAAAGAATGATCGGCACCTTTTCACAGAGCATTAAATATTTATAGGGAGAGGATTCTACAACTCAATTGCATGGGCACGAGATTTATTTGTTTTTGGTTTGTTTAGTATGAGCAACATGCAGATTATTTTACTTTTTATTTAGTTATTTGTACAGCACATGAAGAACTACTGAAATTATTTTCAGATAACACAAATACTTTGAATCAATTTGACTGGATGATCTGGTGAACTGTAAAGTGTTGTGAATTGGCGCGACTGAATTGAAAAGAAATAGATTAATTAATTCTGTTGGGGGAAAGGATTTACTTTAGGGTCTTGGTTAAGATTCACTCAGTGATAACAACCTAATGAGTCTACTGGCACAATCTGAGGTCAATCGATGGGACTGATAGCCGCTAATAACAACCATTTATTTTAATTAAATTCTATTCAGTTTATTTATATAGAATTCACAACACATGTCATCTCAAGGCACTTTACAGTTCAACCAGATCATCCAGTCAGATTGATACAAAGTTTTCTATCTAAGGAAAACCAGATGATTGCATCGACTCATTGACTCTTCAGCAATCCCTCACACTAAGCATGCTTGTAGTGACAGTGGAGAGGAAAAACTCCCTTTGAACAGGAAGAAATTTTATTGTGATGATAAAATCTGAAGCGCAACTGCAAACAGCCCCTTTACTGTGTAAAATAAGACCAAATCAATATGAGGAGGAACCATGAGATTGTTAGGAATCCAGTTTGTGTGGGTTGTGTTTTTTTGTTTGTTTTCCTCCACCACCAGGTGGCGCCTGGTTCTCGTTGGCTTTCTCACACACCTGCGGATGGTTTGCCTTATTACCTGAGGACTCTTAAGCTGCTGACTGCCAAAAACAAAACCTCAGTTTGCTGAGTCAAACTGAATTTTTGTCAACCTGAGTCTTAACCTTGTTGTTTTTGTTTTTGCCTCTCGGCAGGAAGTCATCCTGCTAACTCGATGTTTCGGACCTTCTGCCCCCTGAAAGGATTGTCTTAGTGTCAAACTGAGCTGAGGATTCAAACTGGTGGTTTGGATCTAATTTTCCCCCAAGGATTGTTTGGGCTTCTCTCTGAGCAGGGGATTAATCTCCACAAGGAACCGTTCAAGTACCGCAGGAAATCTAAGTGGTAGTCAGCTCCTCCGTTCCTCAAGGAAACACCTCAACCTGGGTAAACCCTGTCCGCCCTCCAACGAGCAAGTCTATTACTGGAACAACCCACAGCGACTGGATTTAAAGAAAGACGCCTTTTTCTGGAAACGGGAGTCCTGTTGCCTTTATTCCCTTTTCAAATCAAAGACACAAATTTCCCACTAATCCTGCACTAACCGCAGGATCTTCCCCTTCACTTTTCAGTCCCGGTTCGCCAGACTTCAGAGCAGCACTGGACTCTTCTCTACCAACTCACAATAAAGCTGTTAAACTTTCCCCTGGTCTCTCTGTTTGGTTTTCTACATGTGGGTCAGATCTTTGGATAGAATAATGACAGAGATGATGAACAGATTCTTCATCTTCACCTGCAGACAGAGTACTTCACCTAAATAGATACATTGATCTACTACCATTCAAGAAATAATCCTACAATATTATCGCGGTAACAACAGGCTATAGCAAGCCGTTTTGATCGGTACTAGTTTTGCTGAATTTGTATTCCTGATATCTGAAAAACCATTCTTTCTTTTTCTAAATGACCATTTCAAACAAAATGAAATTCTCAACATCTAGAATAAACAATCGGAAAGTCTAGAAATTAATTTCAGATATCCTTATTTCTTACATTACTGGTCAGCATTTCTATTATTTTGACTATGAAAAAATCTTTTTCAGATATCATAAACACACTTAAAATGTGTCCTACTAGCATAATTTTTTTTTTACTTTCTTAAATTTAGTTTCTGCTACAAAAATGTAATTTAGAAAATATATTATTATACATTATAAATATATTACAGCTAGGGTAGGAGTGTGATTTTGATCAGGAAGAATCTTACTTTAGTGATCTACAAATGGAAAAACAGAGAGGAGCACTTTTAATTAATGTAAAAACAGCCTGCTATAGCCCACTTCATATAAACTTTGAATTAACTTTGAATAAACTATAAATTAACTCGAGTAACAATCTTCTTCACCATCTTCCTGTCCTTTGCAGCTGTAGCACTGTTTCTTTATCTTTCAAATATGTTCTGCATTTTTGTTTTATTTTTTTGCCTTTCTACATTAAAATCTCTAGTTCCAGTGTGATGAAATAAGGTGATGTCATGGTCACTGGTCAAATCGGTGCTCAACTGATAATGATAATGAATGACTGATAACTTGTTGCACACAAGCTTAACTCTGAGTGGACCTACTTAGAGTTAATTGAACTAATTCATAACAGCCATTGTAAAACCAAACAAAGTTCCCGACTTTAGACTACATCAATTTAGAGTTGGGATTTAAATCGGAATTTCTTAAACCTGCTTCATTAAAAATGCAGTAGTTACACCTCTATTTATTTAAAAAGTATTGGAAAAGATTGTTTTCTCTCAGGTTAAACCTTATCTTGAGGAAAATTACCTGCTTGAAATATTACAGTTTGGGTTTAAGGCTTGTCGTAGTACTGAATCAGAATTGCTAAGAGTTTTTAATGATATTCTTTTAACCTATGACTCGGGTAGTGAATCACAGTTTAAGCAGATTTTAGTTCTGCTTGATCTAACGGCTGATTTTGACACTGTTGATCATCATATTCTGAATCTAAATCATATTCTAAATCAATCGGTAGGGATCCTGCACACCACTCTTAAAAAGTTCAGATCATATCTGACCAACTGATCTTTCTGTATTAAAATGGCAACGTCGAATAATCTAGCGCTTCTCTATCCTAAGGGGTCCCACAAGGCTCAATTTTAGGGCCCCTGCTCTTTTCCCTGTATTTGTTGCCATGCAGTTCCATTCTGAGATGGGATTGATTTCCAGTTCTATGCTGATGACTGTCAAATCTATTTGCCCCTAAAGCTGGGAGATAGTCTTTCAGTAAAGTCTTTATTGAACAGTTTGGATCCCTTTAAACCTAGCTGGCCCTGAACTTTTTTAATTTTACATTAAGAAATCTGAGGTTATAGTGTCTGGAAATGAGTCCACTATCATGGACCTAAGACCCCCAAACACATGTTTTAAATCAACCATCACAAACTTGGGTTTTAAGGTGGACAGTGATTTTAGATTGGGAAAGCAAATTAGAGCAATTGTCAGGTCTTGCTTTTATCAGTTAAGATGATTGGCAAAACTAAAACATTCTCTTCCAAGCTCAAAAAGGCTTTCCTTGACCCTGGCAAAGCTGTCAGCTGGCCTAGATAAGGTAATCAAATTTCTGAAACCAACCAGTATATTACTGCTTGCAGAGCTCCAGAAATAAAACAAAACATAGTTGTACTATGCCATCTCAATGGCCAGCAAACATAAAAAAATAGGGATTAATTTATCTAGCAGACAAATAGTGTAATATATAAGTCTATCAACAACTAAAAACAGTCTGAGAACAAACTGCAGATTTTTTTGAAGAACCTTACATATAAAGTGTCTTGAAAAGAACAAGACTGTGTCCAAGTAGGATAACTGTTTTGGATATATTTTCCCATGTTTTGTTGTGTGTTTGTAAATTATTAGGAGCACCCATGCATTATGGAACTTTCAATCAGTACCATAAGTTACTGACCTTTCACCTCCAGTTGAACATCTGTGATACTTCTTTCTTCTCTGCCATCACTGATGCTGCAGGTGTAGATCCCGCTGTCAGAGAGGTGAGGTTTTTTCAGACTGAGGCTGAAGACACCAGAGTCTAAAGCATCAGGTTTCATTGATGTTCGCCCACTGAAACGTTGATTCTGTCCACGAAGATCGTCTTCCTCTCTCCGCAGGTGGATAGTTGGTGGTTTAAGATCATGGCGTCTCCAGATCACTGTGGGGTTTACCTCAGGTAACAAACCTGAGTACTGGCATGGCAGGACAACTGAGTCTGCCCCCTCAAAAACATATTCTCCAAAGGCCAAAGAATATGAGGAGGCTTAAAGGAAGAAAAATAGGACATGTTTCAAAATATGGCAATTACCATAAATCAATTGGAGCATCAGTCATCAGCAAGAGGATTATGTGAGCATAAATGAGCCACCTCCCACTAGTTATTTAAAAATTAACACACACCCAGTAGGCGAGGGGCAAGAGTAGCAACAACCTTTAAGTCTGACTTAGTGATAGCTCCAAAGGCAGTTAATAATTTCAACTCTTTTGAACATTTAACCCTTAGTTTTTGTTTGCAAAGCCACAAAACCTCTTCTTTTTGTAACTTTGTATTACCCACCAGGTCCTTACTCTGAATTGTTTAGATGAGTTTTCAGAGTTCCTATTTGATTTGGTTTTGAATATTTACAGGGTCATCATAATCGGGGATTTTAACATCTATGCTGACATTGGTAGCTTAAGTGCAGCATTTAATGCTATCTTAGACACCACTGGCGTTGTTCAAAATGTGAACAGTCCCACACATTCCTGGAGAGGTGGCGAAACGTCTTCAAATCTTGGAAACCAAGTCCAGTGGATATTTTTTGAAGTTTTACGGAAGTCCCACACATTCTTATCTTCATACTTTGGACCTTGTGAAATATGGCATTGGATGTGAAGAAATTAAAGTATTTCTATCTTAGACTATCTTAGACTTGACTGGCATTTTTCTAGATGTATATAACCCATTCTCATCTTCAGACATTTGACTTTGTGGTGAAATGTGGCATTTATTGTGAATAAATAACAATATTTCCCCACAACGTTGTACCGTCTGACCCTTTTAAGTAACTTTAATAATTACTTTAACTGAGTTCTTCTTCCCTTTGCAGAGGGCAACCATTTATTTGATGTAATCCTCTTCATATACTGACGATTTAGTTGATGGGTAGTTCTCTATAGTTTGGATAGTTCTCTGTGTACTGTTTTAGACAACATAGCACGTTTGAAAACAAATAGTTTAAAAAAAGAAGTTTAGCTCCCTGGTTTAATACAGAGCGGTGTACTTTGAAACATAATATTATGAAACTGGAGAGACAGTGGCACTCTACCTCTTACTAGTCTGGAAAAACAGTTTACTACTATATTAAATGAACCTTTGTAAAACAAGAGTAGCATATTTTTCCTTATTATTAGAGGAGAATAAGATAATCCTAGAGCCATGTTGACATGTCCTGTCACTGTCATGGTTCTGTTAAGTTTTCTTTAGTGTATTCAGTTTTACTTTGCTCCATGTTTTCTAGTTTTATTGGTTTAAGTACTATTTTGTGTTTTCTGGATATATTTGAGTTCTTATGTTTTTTTGTGGCCCTTTGTTGCCCTTTTGTGTTGGTCTCCTTTTAGAATCCTTCTAGAATCCTCTCTTCACACCTGCTCCTAATCATCTCATTAGTACTGTCATTGTTCAGTCTCCCATATAAACTCTCCCTGTGCAGTTCTTCAGTGCTAGTTCCTCTTCTTTATCTGTCATTCCCTTCTCTTTCCTCGTACTTGTTTTTCCCTGATGTCTCCATGGTTCTGGTTTGTTTTACATTTTTATGTTGGATTTTTGGATTCCTGCCTGAGGTGCTTGTAAACATTCAATAAAATATTCAAGAACTAACCTCTGCCTCGATGCATTTGAGTTGTTAAAACCTCAACCAAACCCTGACAGAAGGAACCAGCCATTATGGACCCAGCAGAGCCCAGCCCAGATGGCCTGAGGCACTTCTTTCTCAATCTAGGGAATACTCTGGACTCGATAGCCACTCTCAGCCCGCGTTGGAAGAGGCTAAGTGCGGCTGGCCAACTAAAGCAGATTTTCCTCTCTAACTCCACACTCCTTTTTACCCCAGTTTCATCAGAACTATTCAAAGAGTTTGAGTGTAACCGTCAAGCTGCCTTTGCCCCACCCTTCAGTAGATCTACACCACCCAAACCATCACTCCATCACCTTCCGACTCTGCTATTGCCTCCATCAACACCAGCTGTTGCTTCTTCCAGGTGTAAGCACCTCCACCAGGGGAAGAAGGCCACCTCCTCTTCGGTTGGTCAGCCTGAGGCCTCCACTTCCCCTCTGGAGGGTCAGCCTGAAGCTGCCACTCCTATGGCTCAGCCTACTGCTAGCCTTATGGCACTTCCCAACCAGGTCAGTTTTCCCAGTGTTCTCAGTCTTCACTGCCATGATCAATTAGCTAGCCTCACAAAGAAGAAAACTCAAGTCAGGTCCAAGTATCACACCCCCTTCAGTCAGAGCCCCTCATTTTGGGAATCTCATTAGTGGGACTTATTTTATGGGGAAAAGGAGAACCTTTTCCCTTTACTGCTACCTCCATCAGCTCCCTGCCAGCCAGTAGATCCAGAGCCCATTAGCTGGCCAGATACCGAGCCAGAGCCCATTAGCGGGCCAGTCCCCTAGCCAGAACCCCCTAGCATGCCAGTCAATGAACTAGAGCCTATTAGTGGTCTAGAGCTGATTGGTGGGTCAGTCACTGAGCCAGAACCCATATGTTAACCAGTCCTTCCTTTTCCTCAGTTACCTTCCCCCAGTGTCCTAGCCACTTAGCCAGCTCCACCCATTGTCCTAGTTCCACCATCTGAACCTATTTCCATCTCAACTCAGGTAGAACCCTCTCTGGCCTCTCACCCGTCCTCCTGACACCCAGCCTCTCAGCAGGCCTCGAGAGCCCCAGTTGCTTGTAAACATTCAATTAAATCTTCAAGAACTCACCTCTGCCTCTCTGCGTCTGCATTTGACTCCTCAAAACCTCGACCAAACCCTGACATATCCATCACACCTGCTCTTAGCAGTAATTATTTTATAGGATTTTTTACAAATAAGATTGATTCTATTAACAATAAGTTCATTAGCACTCCTCTAACTATGATTGGTTTGTCACTGGAAGGTGGGGCAGCATCTGAGGTAGTCATGGAATCTGAACCGAGTTTAGACTGCTTTGATCCAGTTAAACTTTCTTGGTTGGCAAAACTATTGTCTTCATCTAAGCCTTCATCTTGGATGTTAGATCCAGTTCCAACCAGGTTATTTAAGGAGGTATTCCCTTTGATCTCCTCCTCCATTTTAGATGTGATTAATCTATCTCTGTTACAGGGATATGTACCAAAGGCCTTTAAAGCTGAAGTCTGTAAGTTTTTAAAAATCACTTTTTTGTCATATTGGCTAAAACTGTCCCTATGCCCAGACAGCAGTACATGTGATATGTAACCTGTGAAAAAAACTGCTTCAATTGGTCCCGCCTACTGCCTGTATTTCAATCTGAAAAGAATAATTCGGGACGAGTCAAAACAACCAATCACAGCCAGAGGAGCGCTGATGGAGTGTCAATCACAGCTCACACACGCTGAATCCCGCCCCCTCCCTCTCACCGCTGAACCTGCCGCTGCCGCCCGGCTGCTGCAGTCAGGAGGACGCGCGTGGAAGTCATGGCGGAGCGACAGCCACCAGTGAAAGAGAAACTGCCCTTACTGCCCCTACCGACAACTGCTTACACGGCAAACTTCGGTATAACCAGCATCTTATATCTAGCTGCTTGGAGGTGAGTGTTATCGCTCTTACCGGTTCACACTCCATGCCGCGTACGCTGCTTGGACGCTTCTGGTCGCATGCGGTAGCCGCGCAGATGCTGTGAGAGGGGTGGAGCTTGGAGGTGGGGCATGAGTGAAGCAGAGAGGGTGGGGGAGTGACGTGAAACCTGTTTTTCTTCAAATTTTCAGTCGAAGTCTGCTCTCTTCTCAATGTTACAGACTGCAGCTTTAAGGTTGCTGTAATTAAACCTTTACTTAAACCTCATTTTGAAGTAATCCTCACCTATTTTGCATATCGAAATGGAAAACCAAATAACTGAGGAACTGTAAGCCCAAATTACATACATCATTTGAAAGGTAAAATGTTCTAGTTTCTGAAAATCTAAATTAAAATAGTGTGAGTAAATCAAAGCCTAAGCTGCATCAGTTCAAACATTACTCAAAGTTTTTTTTTTTTTTTCAAAAATAATAGGTATTTTTAACAGCAGTAATAGAGACCTGTTTGACAATAGGCATGTCTCATTGTATTGCAGTGTTCATCATGTCAACCACAAACCCAGAAAATTTCAGACTTCTGGCTACAACAGTTCCAGAGCTGTGGGACTTTGGACAATTGGTGACACCAGCATTTCCAAATCTCTCCAAATTTGCCAAATTGTCCCAAATGCTTTTACTCAACCATTTGACCCTGAAGACTTTTGATGGCTACAAAACATTTATGAAGCAAGTATTTTCTACTTTTTTTTCAGAATCAGTGTATATTACAATATGTAACATTTATAACCCTACAATAACAAATCTAGGGTGACCAAACGTCCGTATTTCCCGGGACATATCCGTATTTCACGTCCGGTCCCGGGCGTCCCGGGTTTTTTTTAGAAAGTGAGGAAATGTCCTGATTTCACTGCGCACAACGCTCCGTGTGACGTAATCCCTGAGCCGCGTCAGTGCGGGCAGCCCTGTTCTTAATCAGTGGCTCTGTTCAAAAACCTGGGCTGCATCCTCCAAGGACGCAGTCTACCTAGACTGGATCCTTCGAAGTCCTTGAAAATGAGGAGGCCAGAAGAGTTTTGTCTGTAAATTCGAACAGGTCCTCCCTTCGGCGGGTTTTACCGGCATATGCTCTGTTGCTTAGCAACCGTGTAAGTTGACACACAAAGCAGGAAAAGAATGAAAACCGAGGTTTTCAAAACTGTTTGTTTATTTATTTATTAAAAAAAAAAAAGTTAAAGCGAACAAAGACTACACTCACAAGAATCCAGAGTGGAATAAAGGTTCCAACCACCGGGAGCAGGAACTAATCAAATCAAATATAATGATAGAAACCTTAGTCAGTTAAATAACCTGCTGCTGTCATTTTGCACATCTCTGATGTTGCTGCTATTTTCAAATATCCATTACTGTAAAAATGTCCATAGCTGCATATTGGTTATTTATTCTCCAGTTTTATATTGTTAAAACACTTTACAGTATTTTAATGTT